ATTTTATATGTTTTTTATATATAAAATTTTTTGAAAATAAAATTAAAAGCCGGGTTGCCGGGTCACTTTTGAAAATTCTATAGCTTATACAAAATCTGTGTGCTAAAAATTTGAATATACTGTAAATCTTTATTTTTTATTTGTAACATTACGTTGTCTTAAACCAGTGTTATTTGTTTGTGGTTCATAACCGCTATAACCTCCGGGATTAGCATCACGAATTCTGCAATAAATAGATTCTTGTAAGAATTTCTTGAATAAAGAAAAGCTGTTAATCGAAAGATACTCACAATCTTAAAAAGGCTTCTTCCAAACTTTTTTGACTTACACCCCAAGCTTTAACAAGTTTCTTTCCTGGTTCGCTATTGCTCAACTCTTCGTTTTCTTCCAACCATTTAATGAATGATGGTAAAGCCGGTAAAGCAGATACAGGAAGTTCGTAAATGAGAGAACCTGCTGAATCATCTTCCAACTTGGCATCAGGAACTTGAGCTTCAACTAGTTCCTTAAGACGTTGTGAATCATTAGGGTGAGTAACAAGAGATACGCGATATCCAGCACCAAATTTATTTTTAATACGAATAGAATTTCCAAGTGCACGTAAACGACCATGAGCCATGACACAAATTCGATCACCCAATACATCAGCCTCTTCCATAGAATGAGTTGTTAAAATAATAATTCTACCCTGCTTGAAATTTTCAATAAAACTCCACACATGACGTCTATTAACTGGGTCCATCCCAGTCGTAGGTTCATCCATGAAAATGATTTTAGGATCACCAATAGTAGAAATTAACATACTAAGACGACGTTTCATACCACCACTGTAAGAACCAGCAGGTTTGTCGGCAACCTTAGTGAGACGTACAGCAGCAAGTCGTTCTTCGACTAATTTTGTTATTTCAGCAGAAGGTATATTTTTAATACCTGCATAAAGTTCAATATGTTCTTTCGCAGTTAAATCATTAAATAAAATATCGTGTTGAGGACATACACCCATAATCTTACGAATTTTATTCATATCATTTCGAACGCTATACCCATACAATAATGCATCGCCATTTGTTGCTGGAGTTAGTCCAGATAGAATGTTCATTGATGTACTTTTACCGGCACCATTCTGTCCTAGTAAAGCGAGACATTTACCTTCTCTCAGAGTCAAACACAAGTCATTAACCGCAACTTTGTCTAATTTACTTTTAACAAGTAATGATTTTTGATAAATTTTGTTGAGATTGCAAATTCTAACTGTGCATTCGTAATTTGGATCAAATGCTAGACTACGTTCACGAGCAACATCTTCATCTTCTCCAGTATGATTACTAGTACTAACTTTCTGAGCACGATTTAACCATGCTTGTAAATCAAATGTTTTTCTGAGTTTAATTCCGTAATAACCAGGTGTCAAAAAGAAAATTGGATTATTGTAATTTCCAAATTCATCAGGAATTATTTTATCTAAATACCATGTAAGAAGAAAATAAAAACCAATGTTCATTAACAAGAAGTACCAACTTTGAATCGGAGGAGGTACAGCAGGTTTAATATTAGAAGTATCATAAACCGGAAGATAAGTATCCGGAATTGTATTATAAAGATTATCCCAGGCAAACCCAGGACCAGGAATAACAGTTTGAGTTACTTGATCAAGTTTTCCGGCGGTCAACATAGATAAGTCCAAATAAAATTTGCCAAAATTGAAAAATGGCAAGAACATCAAAACAAGCCAGCCAGCCTTATCAACAGATTGACTCCACCAAATGTAACCCACAAAAGCATTTGAGAATACGAAGGATTGGAATATAAGTCCAATAATAAATATGAATATACCAACAAGTACCGCAACACGTGCACGACGACAAAACGTAGTGATAAAGAATGCGAAAGAAACCATAGCAAGACCAAATAGAACAAATGTAATGAATACAACAGCAAAGTTGGCATTTTTAAAGACAAAAAATTGAAAAGCAATGCCAAACGAGCAAGTCATTAACGAACAAATGACTACTAGCCAAGCGTTAGAAATGAAATAGCTTAGCCAATAAACCTCAATTTTCAAACCCATCATAACCAGACTATCCACTAACTTTTGCTCTTTTTCAGTAACAATGGTATTTAAAACAGAAATAAAAATAATCATTTCTGCACAAAAGAAGAATACTGCTCCAAAAGTTGATACAATTTGATCATTAAGTTGAGAAGGAGGAACTAAAGGCCAATCCTTAAGTTTAATGTTAAATTTTGCAGGATTTTGAATATCGTTAGTAGCGAAAGTAACTATTATAGAAGGAAAAAAATAAATTAAACAATAAATAAGAATTAAATTATAGAAATTAATAAAATAGGAAAAACACAATATGTATACCGATAGCTTCGTCAATTCCACGTTGTAAAGCAAGTAATTGTTCACCAAACACATCTGAACCATTTGCCATAAGTGTACTGTTAAACCAAATCTGATATCTGTAATTCGCAGGAGGTCCTAGAACATTGCTGAATTCAATACCAAACATTGTAACATTTGGATGATTAAGAGTGTAATTGTAGATGAAATTGGCATCTGGAACAGGAATAATTCCAAGCGTAGACGTTGGTATAAAATCAAGGCTAGTTATTGGAATAGTATCAATGTCTAATTTATATCCAGTTCGGTTAAAATTGTTATTTGCAAAAATTTGCATTATAGTCTGTGATGCCGGGTCATTTGGTGTAAACATCAAATTGATACATGGGTTTGATGGTGTTCTTCCCTATTAAATGAAAATATATAATTTAATCATTTAGTTCACCTTGAATTGTTAATTAAAAGTAAAGATTACCTGACAAGGTTGAACACCGAGAAGGGGATAGGCTATTGGATGTAGATTTGACTTTAATCGTTGGCTATTGTCAGCTTGTTGTAAAATGTATAGCAGTAACAGAAATATTATAGGGCCTATTAGGATTTGAGATATAGTCGATTTATAATATCGCATCTATGAGAAGAAAGTTTTAATTTTCATTGCATTTTTTTTTTTTTGAGATAATAAGAAATCAAAAAAGTATTTAACTTGTAATATAAAATTTCTCCTCGTCATGACCCATAATTGTCTAAAGAAAAGTAAGAATCCACCAGTTGAATTTATCGTAACTTGCTGGTTTATTTTATTATTATTATTATTAATTGAACTAGCTAAAGTTGTTAATGAAGGCTCACTTTCAGATTGTATGTTAATGCCATGATTTGGCGATAAATAATCGTTATCCATCTTTTTGTAAATTGTATTTTCGTTAAACTCGAATATAATAGAAATAGAAATATTAAAACATAAAAAAAATCAAAGACTTATTCTTGGTTTTAAAATAGAATGATTTAATCATTGTCAAGAATGAGCATTCAAAAACAAACTCGTCATACGAAAAGAATAACTTCATGGTAGTATTTATTTTTAGTAAGTTTTATCGAGAATGTCTAAAGTATATATTAAACATTACCATTTATGGAATCGTTACCGGTTAAATAAATTGCAATTTCCCCGATAAACATATGACAAACCAATTATAACAGATCGTACGATGGTAATTTCGAATTCTTTTCAGTTTATATAATTTTAAATGAGTATAAATAATAAGTTATATGGAGTGCCTCATATTAAAAGGGTCCATTTGACAATTTTTTAAAAATTATATATAAAAATAATTGTTATATTTCCAATTATACTGAATAATAAAAGATATATTGCAAAATGGGCCCTTTTAATACAAAGAAGCGGAGTTAGGGTTAGAGTAACTTTTTTGATGCTTTTAGCCTACGTATTAATACAATTTATGCAGTATGTAGATCATATATTGAATTAACTCCGCTAAATTGGACATATGGAGGTGTCTTTTTATTGAAATTTCTTTGAAACTTTAAACTACAATAACTTGACAAAAACTTAATCAAATTTAATAAAAATTTTTTTGAATTAATTCTACAAATTTGTATAATTAATTCAAAAAAATTTTTATTAAATTTAATTAAGTTTTTGTCAAGTTATTGTAGTTTAAAGTTTTAAAAAAAATTTACTTAGAAAAAATTTGCTTGATTTCTATTGACACACCCATTTTGTACCGTAGTAATATATAATACGTATTCAAAAGATTATGTTTCTAATATCACTATTATTTTTCTTATGTTTTAAATTTAATTATAAAATATTATAAATATTAGATTAAAATGAATTATCATAATAAAGAATTAGAACAAGTAGGCCGGTAGTGGCCTCTTGTTGATTAGGAGTTAGCGAGTTGTATAAACATAGTTGTTCCTAGGGGAGAAACAGCTACTGTGGTAGATCACACCTGGACACCTAGAGGCAGCTGAGTGAGCCCGGACTTGGTGTAAGAGGGCATGTCATAATAGATTTATTTCGTAATATGTTAGTGTCTATATGACACTTTTCTTAATAAAGGAAGGGCAAGGTCGCTTAAGTATAAAAAAAAGAATAAGGTTAAGGCTTAATAAAGTATTTTTTTTTTACTTAAAAGTATGGTTGTGTTCAGGGTTGTAAAATTACATTTATAAATTTTTTGGTTATTCCAAAATATTGGTAAATTACCAGATAGGGTTGTTAAATGGAGCGGAGTGGTGTGGTGCAAGAATCAAAATTTCAAAATCAAAAATTTTCAAAATTTTACGGAGAAATTCCCAAGTTTTCTGAACCGGAGGACATCAACCGCCCTACTGTTACTAATTTAAAAAATTTCGCTAGTCATGTGTGACTAATCAAAAAAAATTTTTTATTTTTATTTTTTCTTATTAATAACGTTAATAATAAATTAAGGGAATGGGCAGAAATCAGGTGATTTCGATTTATTATAGTGACCTACCCCCTCCCCCCTACCTGACTAGTTATACAAGCTTATCAAATCAAATCACTTCTATTAAGACCTGACTAAACTGCTATACCCCCTCCCCCCCTAAGAAATCAGCTGATTTCTGCCCATTCCCTAATCCTGATTAGGAGTAGGGTCGAAACGGGCCGGGTCGGGTCGGGCTTTCTAAGACCCGAAACAGAGCCCGAAAAATTTTTTTAGGCCCGATTCAAGCCCAAGCCTGACAAAAAGCCCGTTAAACAAACCGGGCCGGGCCTTATTATAAATCGGGCTCAAGCCCGACAAAAAAGCCCGCTAAGCAAACCGGGCCGGGCTTTATTTTAAATTCGGCCCAAGCCTGGTCCGGCCCGTATTTCATATAGATTTTTGACTCCGACGGCAGAAGATGCCGTCTAAAGATGGGCAAGGTAATAATGTAAGTATTAATTACTTATTTTTTACCCCAATATTTACACATACATATTATTACTAATTATTCTCTATGCGAACAATTATTACTTATCACGTTTTACAAATGTAATCTGGAAGGCAAATTTTAAACAAAAATTTGCTGATCAGGTTAAGTTTTTGCTTATATCATAATTCTTTACTTATTATTACTTATTACGCAAAAAATGATAAGAAATAATCGAAAATAATAAATAATAATACTTTACTAAACTTGCCCATCTCTAATGCCGTCAGAAATCGTATTAAAACCTTTTTTAAGAGCCGATAGTATAGTGTTGAATACCGATAGCATGGATAATAATATATTCGAAATGTCACACAGTTGAAAATTTTTATTTAATGAAGTACAATATTTGTGAATGTATTTCAAAAAGCAAATTATTTGGCTTTCTGCCATTTCAAAATTATATGTAACACGCCAATTCGCGTTAAAAAAAAAAAAAAAAAAAAAATTATATATAAAATTTTTTTTCAAAAAATCCTTATTGAATTTGAGCCCGAATTGTTAGCCGCATTTTAGCCCAAGGGAAATTTAACCGAACTTCAAGTAACTAACTGTCCTAATCTAGTTTGGTGACAAAAAGATTGAAATTGTATCCTATTTTTTTTTTTTTAGAATTATACCGATCAGTTACATTATTTTTTACCTTACATGAAAAAACTATTATCATTAATCAGATTGAGCATCATCCCTCAATTTTTCCCAGCCTTGTTCCTTTTTATTTCTTAGCCAGTCTTGGCTACACACTAACATTTTAGTAGTTTCCGGAGAGAGGTTTGATCGTTCATCATCAATAATCCTACCTGTGATACTAAATATCTGAACAAATAATGCATGGTTAATGCAAGAACTTGGCCAATACTGAAGCTAACCAAAAAAAATTTTTTTCTAATAATTAAATGGTTAACTTCAGTATTAGCCAAAGTTTAGCATTAATTACCAAAAAATAAGTTAGTTTACATTAATAAGTCAATACCAGTACTTACCATATAAGCACAAAATAATGTGCAGGAGTTAATTTAAATTTTAGCTAAAATTTGAAATTAACTCCTGCGCGTTATTTCATGCTTATACGGTAATTGAAATTTTACTTACTGATTCAGAGGCCACAGAGGTAATTGGAATTGCAAGAACATCCCTCACCATTGATGATACTGAAGGATACTTCAGTTCATATTCCTTCCACCACACTAGAATGTCAAACATCCCAAAACTAGAACGTGAAACAAGTAGATTACTCAAATATTGCTCAAATTCATTTATATTATTTGTGCCATGAACTTGATTATCTTTAAGAAAATGGTCATAGCTCTACATCAATTCATCATCTTGTGAAAAAAGATCAGAAAAATCACTATAATTATTAAATGAAGCCGTATTTTGCGCATATGTCAATTGATAAATCATTGAAGCTTTATAAAATAAGAAATAGCTATTAATTTAGTAAAAATCATTTTTTTTTTAAAAAAAAAAGTAAAATTTAAAGATAACTTTTCTCATTTTAATATCATTTAGTTTTTCTCTGCTTCAGCCAATGATAGATTCATTTTTTGCTTATATATATGAGTAAGTAATGATATCTTGTAGCGAGGATCCAAAATCGATGCAAGACAATGCATTTCTCCCATATCTGTTCAATATTTATCAAATTTTGATTGCATTGGTGTAACCATTTGACAAATAAGCGAATTTGAATTAGTAATATTTCATTTAATATGTATCTTGATTTTTACCAAATGGAAAAGAAAGATATTTGCAGTTGAATATTTACTTCTAGAAATAATATTCGTAACTATATTAAAATTAATGTCTAATTAGTATGTCTTTAATAAATAAACTCTAAAAAAAATTAATAAAAATTTAGAAAATATGCATAAAAGATTGTATAATAAATTCTTGGTTGTTTTAAAAGAGTTAGTAGCCCAGACTAATTTGTCTTTTTTAAAATAGAACCAGTAGTTCAAACTACTGGTTCTATATTAAAAAAAACAAATTAGTCCAGCCTATTAACATTCCAGATTATCTTCATAAAACAGTTTTAAAAAGCTACAAATATCTTTAGCCTTATTCTAATCATATTGAAAGGTATAATTAAACCAAAATTACTATCTCGTAATACAAGATGTTTAAAAACTTTTTTATATAATATAGTAGATGATAATATGAGATACACAAAATTCTAATGAGTCAGAATATCAAGAGTCAGTCATAAACTAGACACAAGCTCAGAACAACATCCAACTATAGCATCTTCAAAGTTCTGTTATTATGCGTGCAAGCTATAAATCTACTTAACAAATTCTCAAATTTTACATATAATATTTCTAACTGTTTTTAGATCATCAGTAACTACTAGGTTCAATATATGAGCACAGCACTACTGATACAATAAACTTCCATTTGCGATAAGTATGTTTTGTCTCTCAAGATTGTGATTTAGATTCATTATTGCAGCATCATTACTAGATGCATTGTCTATTGTGATTGCTAACATTCTAGATGCAATATTCTACTCATTAAGGCACATTAAAAGTATTTCACTAATAATGATTCTTATATACAGTGCAGGAACTAATTTGAACTCCAAAACTAATTACTGAAGCTTCCAGCCTTTATTAATGAAATAACATATTATAACTATATATCTAAGGGTTTAAACTGAAGTTTATAAATCCATTGTATAACTAAGATTTCTAGGTGCCTTCTGCACTATTATACGAACTTTTTCTTTAAGATAACTAACAATTTTCATGCAATCTTCATGCGCTATTTGTTCACTTACTATTTTATATTGTGGTTGCAAGTTTTTAATGAACTTTATGAAACCTTCATGCATAACTATGTGAAATAGATAAGAATGCTAAATAATAATTTCTATCATATCCTGTCAGCTTATTTTTTAGGAAAATATATAGAGAACAAGATCTGATTCAGTAACTG